AATTGTAATAAGGGTAATTATGTAACTTTAGCATGATAATTAAAATAAAATCCCTTAAATCATGGAAATTACCATAAAAATATCTTTGACCAACTATTAAACCCTAGCTTCTCATATCATATGTATTCTACTTATGCCTCCTCCATATGGCTTCTTCCATCCGCAACCACAAAATCGTATCCTCCCCCTTCCATTGACCTTCGGCCACATCACTTGAGTTTTGATGAATATGTCGACCATAACCGTGCTGCAGCCAACAAATGTTACAAGACTAAGGGAGTGAATGATAATCAAAATACCAGCACCAGTAGCAACGAATTCAAACGAATTCTATTTCTCAAGACGTCAAAAGGTTAGTTATATTTCCTCTATTTCTTATTCAACTTAATCGATTTCTTCTCCCTTAATTTCTGATTTGTTGGAAGTTTCATCTTTGAAGAATCGAGACATATTCACTTTGAGTCAAAATTGGTTTATGAGTCTGATTGAGTATGTATCGATTGATTGGTTTTGAAATTGATTTCTGATTTTGCACCTTGAATCTAATTGCTATCTGAAATTGCACATGATGTTTACCTTGTTGTTGAATCTGATGTTGATCTTGACATTTTAATTTGCTATGTGTAATCTGAAAGTGTAACTTCCACCCACCAGGTGTTCGACATAATGCCAACATTGCATCATTCTTCCTTAAACATTCTACATATTCTTATGTGATAATGATTTCTTTTGATTTATTCTAGATATTGTAAGTTATGTATACCTTAAATATTTTAAGCATTATGGTTTACGTTTATTTATACTATGCATGGTGGTTTGATAAAATGTTCACTTCAAATTATTCTACTTATTCTAATGTGTGTTGTATACTAGTTATTCTAACTACTTTTACTTATGTTTTATGTTTTGTGTTGAATATTCTATATATTCTAATCAAGCTTCAATTGCTACAAATGATGAAAGATACACTGATATTCTACTAATTCGATTGTATGTTGTATTGCTTTAATTAAAATATCACTAATCAAGCTTCTAATTGCAGCAAAAGATGGACCAATGGTTGATCAATTGATGAATTAGTTTTCAGTTTAAGCTAATTAAGCTAATTCTGTGAGAATGACTTTCTTTCATCATCATTGGGTGTTTATTCTTATCTTCAATTGTTTCATTCTTTAAGAATAGTTATTTCATTCTTTAAGAATATTTTGTATCTAATGTATTCTTATATTTAAATAATGTGTAGAGAGTATAATAATCTTGGAGAATCACGTAAGAATGATTATGCCAGAATTGTATTTCTGGTATAATCACATAAGAATGATTATGGTAGAATCACATAAGAATGGTTTTGCAAGGGTTGTATTGCAATTGGCTGAAGTTTTAACATGATTTTTGTTTCTTATGTTTTTCAGATGTTTCAAGTTTTACCTAGGGATCACTTACCATCCTCAAGTTTATCTCCTTTTTGTAGCTCCTTGTACAGAATCATTCTCATGCAATACAATTCTGACAGAATGCTAATCCCACAAAATGTCAATCTCATAGAATACTACCATATTTTGAAGTGGCTTAGAGGTCAAACATACACAATACATCTAGAAATGAAACAAGAAAGTGAATGAGGATTCTTTCAAGAATGCCGATATTTTTTTGCAAGAGATTTCAAGAATAAATGTAATATATGTTCATAGTTGTATTCTTTAATAATGAATGTAATTACTTATTCTAAACTATTAAACTTCATCTTATATAAAATTTATATTCATTAAATATTATTGGTCTTATATGTGTTTATAACATTATGTTCATAGTTGTATACAATTCTGATATAATTATAAAATATCATTCTCACAAAATAACATTATGATAGAATAAAATCGGTTTATTATTACAAATTACGTTTAAAATTGAATTAATTTTAAAAAAAATAATATTTTTTAAATCAAAATAATTAATTATCCCATAAATCTCAACTTTCCCTTTTTTAAATTTGTCTGAATTGACTAAAATGCTCTTATGCTGAATTTTGTGTGATTATATGGTAATTATTACCCTATTGCACTATTATAGACCCTCGGATCATGATCTTTGATTATATTACATCCAATGGTCCAGATTTGTGCATTCTGGCACACAATAGTTACTAAAAACAAAATAACCTAACCCTAATATATATATATATATATATATATATATATATATATATATATATATATATATATATATATACTTGCCAAATTCTAGTCACCATGTCATGTTTATCCTGTATTCTCCAAGTCGGCATCAAGAATCGCAAAGATTCCATTCACCATGTATTTATGGTGATAACCACGTTGTGGTCGTTGGGAATCATCACTTTATCAAAACACAAAAGTCGTCTGAATTTTTTTTCTAGGTTTTAGATCATTTTGAAACTAGTCAATCGGAGTTACGAGTCATGATATATAGCTAAAGCACTGTCGAGAGGTGAAGCTGCCAACATCTTTTTTTGTCTTTTTCAGCTCCGTTCTTCTCCTTTTGCATCGCATCTCCCATTTTAACTGTAACTGAATATTTTCGAGCATATTAAGTATCATATATCTAAAAATATAACACTTTAATCAAATATATTAAGATAATGACTTAAAATATATAGTTAAATAAGGCCACATCACTCAGCCAAATACACATGTTTCTCCTTCATCATGAGTCTGTCCTCCTAACTTATGGCCTCATCCAAAACCGAGGATTCCCTACAATCCATCGGCCTATCACACTTTTACTACCCCTGTAACCGAACACACCACCTTTGTCGTTGCCGATAAAGATCTTTTTTGGCAAAATGCCATGGCTAAGGAATACGCTGTATTACTTCGTAATGTTACTTGGTCTTTGATTCCACTAGTATTTGATGCAAATGTAGTTGACTATAAATGAGTGTACAAAAATAAAGAGAGATCAAACAAGTTCCATTAAACGTTACAAGGCTCCTTTGATGGCCAAAGGTTTCAATTTGAAACTGGGAATTAACTATCAAGAAATTTTAGTCTCATGGTTAAATTCATTATTCTCTCTCTTGCCGTATCACAACGATGGCTGCTTAGAAAGTTTGATGTTCAGAATTTCCTTTTACATGGTGACCTGACTGAGACATTTTATCTACACTGACCAACAGGCTTCGTTGATCAGTAGAAACCAAATCATGTATGTGTCCTTCACAAGTCTTTTTATGGTCTCAAGTCGGCCCTTGGATTTAAGGGATCTAAAACAGTTCCTTCACTTTTTATCTATTCTTAAAGTGGCACAATATTATATATGATGGTCTATGTTGATATAATTCTGATAGGTAATACTCTGATAGGCATCGATCGGATTTTCAAAAAGTTAAGCTAGAGCTTTGTTGTTCAGGATATGGGTACTGTTTCGTATTTTCTAGGTATTGAAGTTTCTACCAGAGGCTCATATTTTCTTTTATCTTAGAAGAAATATATTTTGAAGATCATTCAAAAGGCTGGTCTCTCTCATGCAAAACTTATCACAACCTTGATCATTATAACTATAAACTTGGCTCTCATTGACAACCCTCCTTTTGAGAATTTAGTTTAATATTGTCAGGTTGTTGGTGCTATACAGTATCCCAACTTGCTAGTTTATGCACTCTCCGACAACTAATCATATGTCCGATGTAAAGAGAATTCTCAAGTATCTGCAGGGTACAACAGACTACGGTCTTCTAGTTAAACAAACCTCAGATTCTACCCTACATGCTTATATTGATGCTCATTCTCCCTTCCTTAATGCTTTTTCTGATGCCGACTTAGCTGGTTGTCTAGATGACCATCGATCTACCGGGGGATACACTAGCTATCTCGGTTCCAATCTTATCTCATGGTCGGCCAGGAAACAAAATTTTGTATCTCAGTCATCAATAGAGTCACGAGTACAAAGCCTTAGCAGATACGATTGCTGAAACCACTTGGTTGGAAGCTCTCCTACATGAACTTCAAGTTCCCATAGCTAGAGTTCCTGTTTTATGGTGTGATAACCTTGGAGCCACATACCTGTGGTCAATCTTGTTTTCCATGCTCGTACAAAGCATTTAGAGGTGGACTTTCATTTTGTCAGAGAAAAGGTTCCCAAAAAGAAGCTCTTAGTTCGGTTCATTTCTACTAATGATTCAATTGCTGATGTATTTACCAAACCGCTACAGTCACAACGATTCGAGGGTCTACAATCCAAGCTGCATGTCGTTTCCCAGTTTTAGCTTGTCGGGGAATATTAGACAGTTTTGATAAATCTTATATAGTAGGAGGATACAATCTGTAAATATGTATTTTATATATTCTTTAATCTATTTTTTGAATAGTATACGGAATCACAATTACAATTCTATTACCAAGTTCAACTCTCATGGAATCAGTTTTATTGAATTTGTTTGGTCTAAAAAAAATCTAGCATATCACTTATGTAGGGGATTAGCTAGGGATTTGTAAATAAGCTAACAATAGGGAAGAGACAAACCTACAACTAAACAAAAGTATTACGGCCGAAGTGTGATATCCAAAAAGTCTAGGAGCGAAGCAAGACAATATATGAAATTATAGTGATCAAACCTATCAATATACGAAAGTGTTGTGGTCAAATTTTAATATATAAAAACTCTAGGGACCAAAACTGCAAATATAAAAAACTATTACGGCCAAAGCGTAATACCCAAAAATTCTCTAGAGCAAAACTACAAATATAGAGAACAGTTGTGACAAAATTTTAAAATCCATAATTATTGTGTTCATTTGTCATTTGAAATTAGATGTATATAATAATATGTTAATAATATTTTAATCGATTTAATAAAAGTAATAATTTTGGTGAAAGTGGCATGTCAAAGCGGTTTATGATCAATTACTACCGTTCACATGGCTTATCTGTAAAAAATTTCGTACACAGAATGCTCATTTTGCACTCTCTATGCATTTGCATCATGGTTCACGTTCCTTCACATCCCCCAAAAAGAAAAAATTAAAATTGATAAAAAAAAGTAAATAATTCCTCCTACCCCATGACCCCATCCCCTGTCTATATAAACGGCCCAATATTCATCTTGTTCATTAGGGTTGGCATATTAGTCATAAATTAAGGTTTCTTCTTATGTGTATGTACGAGGAAAACCAAATCGTTGTTGGCTTTCTTCTTGGTAGCAACATGTTGATACAATGATAAAAGCAGCAACTAGTGGTTATTTCTACAAAACATAAGTAATATGGTGCATGCATGCTGATTAGTCGTTTATGAAATTTTGAAGCAGAAAGTATGTGGAAGCTGAAAATAGCAGAAGGTGGCGATGATGAGTGGCTGACCACCACCAACAACCATGTTGGCCGCCAACACTGGGTGTTTGATCCGGATGCTGGAACCGAAGAGGAACGTACTGAGATCGAGAAGATGCGTCTTCACTTCAAACTTAATCGTTTTCAATTCAAACAAAGTGCCGACTTGTTAATGCGTACTCAAGTAAGTCTGATAGTTTTTCTATCCATAGCAAGATTTTTAGACATATTTACAAAACAAAAAGTACCTGAGATTAACATTTAAGGCTCTTTGACATGTCTCTTACTCATTTAGGTAATAGACCGAGTGTGACTTTTTCAAGTTTTTATTCAATGATTTAGTCCTACAACCTATCATATATGTTTCTTATTGGATATATGTTTCTTATTGGATCTCATAAATGGCTGAATCTGACTCTGACTCAAGTGACTCAATCAAAAACTATCAAACAACCCTTACTTTATGATTATGATTAGTTGTGTCCTCCGATTTAATGATATAGAGTCACGACCATTTTATCAATACAATTAGCATGCATATACTAACATGGTAAGCATGGATCATACAGATCATGGCACCCGACTCGAATAGTTTGAAACTTTATCCTAAAACACCTTGAAAGTAAGAGATCCACACAATCGGAACCAAGTCTATTCACAAAAATGACACACGTTAGCTACCCCTACCCGTTTTAGTATTTATGGTTATGGTTGGGTGATTTGCCTCCACCTCATAAATATTAAGTGTGTTGCATTCGGAGAACCTCGTGATAATGATATAATTTGATGGTTTTTTTAGTTTCTGAATTTTGAGAGGCTGAGATTCTTTATATCTTATTGTATATGGATGTAATGAGTCAGTTAAGTTGAACAATTTTTTTTTTAAAAGATATGGAATGTTTATACGCATTTAAATTATTTACTAAAAGTGTGTTTTATATTATTTTAAAACTTTTTTATTTTTTAAATAAAAAGTAAACGGATAAATCCAATTTATTGACAAATTTTAAATAGTTACCATTTTCATCCGAGTAATTGGTTATCTTATGGGTCTTTATCATTGGATATCTAATGTTTTTTATGGAACGGATATGTTTCAATTGGATGTTGGATATTGTAACCCGATCCAATCCAATAAATTGAAATATACTCAAACCAACCGAAACAATCTATTTAAATATTAGATTTGATCATTTTTATCTTTGTGAATATTTACTGTTGGTTATCTAGTTCCCACTTCTCATCCAATTTGTGATACTTTTAATACTCAATCAGAGCGTCCAATAATATTATTGGATGGTATTATTGAATTAATCATGTGGGTGATAATTGAACTGATCAATTGGACGACAACAAGATGGATCTAATTAGACGATAATGGGATATTAGTTAGATATCCAGTTGAATGATAGTTGGAATTCAGTTGGATTGCATCTATCCAACTAATTGAATACGGATTTTCATCCAAGATCCGACTAATCCAACATGGATATTCAAAACATTGAAACTGACGTAAGCCAGTTACCATCGAATATCGAATATAAATTTGTTTGTTTTAAGTTGATTGTTCGCTCAGAATTACAAACAGTTAATTTCTTCAAACCCCTAGTTACCCTATCCTTTTAATTTTGCCAAACTATAACTTAAAAATAATTGTAACCCATACGTGTCAACCATACGCAAAAGGCCCAATAAGGATATCTTTGGTAATTAGTTTCATACTACTTATTAACTCTCATGAACTGGTATTATCCTTCTTGCTGTGCAAATCCTATAAATGACGTAGATGGAGAATTAGGAGTAGTGTACAAATAAATTATGTTTTCCGTTAAAATATATTGAGTAATTAATATCCACCATTTATTGTACCTTAATATTTATTGTGTAATAGCAAAAAATAAATAAGTAAACTATTTAAATTCATATATATATATATATATATATATATATATATATATATATATATATATATATATATATATATATATATATATATATATTTCTTATTGTATAAATAATTTGTATTTTACAATTTTATAAAATATAAACTATTATATATAAAGTAAAAATTGATGGGTTTGAATTACCTACCTTTAAAAAATGTTTATAAAAATATATATTAGAGAAATTAAGCAAACATAAATTCCTAATAAATGAAAGTTAGAAAATGTTATCAGCAACTATTATATTCAAAAGACTATTTTTATTGGTCACTAAAAGACTGGTTGTTTATCCATTATAATTAAAAAAAATTAAAAAACCATAAAAATCCAGCAACCTGTTTGTTAATGTAGTTGACCTTTTTCTCTCTGTTATTTTTCTATTTCTCAATTTTCATTTTAATTTAGTTTTTTAATATTTTTATTTTATTAATAATTAAATAATGTATTTATAAAATAAATAAATAAAATATAATAAAATATATAGGAACAATTATCTACAAAATGATCTCACTATTGATATATTTTTTTGATAAATTTTTATATCTTTTTTATATAATATGTTAGATTAGATTTGGTTGAATAAAATTAGTAATGGGTGTAAAAATGTATGTTGGTTGTAGTGGCTAGCCACATTATAACAAGGGTGGGCCTTGACCCACCTAAATAAATTTGAGGTTATATATATATATATATATATATATATATATATATATATATATATATATATATATATATATATATATATATATATATATATATATATATATATATAAAGACTAAGGGAAGTGAATTTGTATATGGTCCACCCTAAGACACGCCACTGTTGGTTGTATAGGTAGCAGAAAGAAAAAATTAATATTTTAATAGATGGTTGGATTACATTTGATTGTGAATGGTGATAGTCTGAACTTTGTTTCAATACGCTCAGATTTCCACCCATACAATCCAAAATTTTAACCTCTTTGGAAATTTTTTTACCTTCTAATTTTTAAGTAACCAACCCACTAGGAAAATTAAAAAAGTATTAATATGTCAATTTAATATTTCAATTACCATGCCCCGTTAAAAATAAAATATATGTTTAACTTTTTATACGACTATTCATTTGACAAACTCTTCTACTTTTTGTTACAAATTGTTTCATATATATATATATATATATATATAAGACAAACTCAAAAGTATGATATTTTGTGAACTGACAGCTAAGAAAGGAGAATGCAATAGATGAAAATGAAATACCGAAAGCAATAAAATTGAATGAAACAGAAGAAATATCAAATGAAGCTGTTACAACTACACTCCGAAGAGCCATTAGCTTCTACTCCACTATTCAAGCTCATGATGGTCATTGGCCTGCTGAGTCTGCTGGGCCTTTGTTCTTCCTTCCTCCACTGGTAATTAATTAATTAATTAAATATTATCTTTTAAAAGAAAAAAAACAAACTTAGTCATTTTTCTTTAAAAATTAGACAAATTTTAAATATATTCTCTCAATAACCACCAATTTAACCATGAACACTCCATATTTAAGGTTTTTTTCACATTACTCATTTTTACACAAACTTTGTTTTAGCAAATATCAATCTCTATTTAACTCATTTAAAAAAAACTTAAGAAAGATGGTTATTTTTGTAATTTTCTCCCATTTAAAACCCTTAATTAATAATAGCAATCTACGTAACTATCTATACATGGTTCGGTAATATGTTTATTGACACAGATAATAGCACTGTATGTGACTGGATCCATGAATGATATTCTAACACCTGCACATCAGCTAGAAATCAAACGCTACATATACAATCATCAGGTATACATATGTTACCAAGTTAATTCATCTATTTTTTTTCTAATATAAGTGACAATTTATATACATTTTTTTCGGGGTGATTGTTGATTTTAGAATGAAGATGGAGGTTGGGGATTACATATAGAGGGTCACAGCACAATGTTTGGATCAGTACTTAGTTACATTACATTGAGATTGCTTGGAGAAGAAGCCAACAGTGTTGCTGAGGACATGGCAGTGGTTAAAGGCCGTAAATGGATCCTTGACCATGGTGGTGCAGTTGGGATTCCTTCGTGGGGAAAGTTTTGGCTCACGGTCCGTATAAATACTTGTTACATGCAAGATTAACAAACGTACTATGTATCAGTTTATACCACATCTATGCGATGCTGTACAAACGTACTATGTATCAATGTATACCACATCCTTGCGATGCTGTCCTATAAGTACTGTCCGTATGTCTATATATGTTGGAGTCATCTTCTTTCAAAAAGGACTCTTTTGAAGATTTAATATAAGACTCCACATATATTTAAGATATATAAAAACTTATAAGACTGTGTCGCACCGATAACGGATACACTAACACTTTGTATCTATTTATTGCAGTTGATAAAAATAAAATGAAATAAAGTAAGTACAATGTCTTTTGTAGATACTTGGAGTATACGAGTGGGGAGGCTGTAATCCCATGCCACCCGAATTTTGGCTCCTCCCTAAGTTTTTCCCCATTCATCCAGGTTGGTTATCTTTTACTCTTTCGATCTAATTCCAGGTTAATTTTGAAGTAAATTACAAATCTGGTTCCTACAGTTTACCAAAAACACAAGTTCACTTCAAATTTTCAAATAGTTCTCACATTTGCATTTCATTGTGGAATGGTCGCTGGACCATATAAAATGACTTCAATATTTGGATAAAACTTGCTATTGTGAGTAAAGCAATGAGACTATATCCATAACGAAATGTAAACATAAAGAAACAAAAATAGGAAATTTTCAAAACATGGACTGAAGTTGCAATTTTATGTAAACAGTAGGGACCTAATTTGTAATTTTCTCTTAATTTTGTATTGGGTGGAAACTACTAATAATTACTCTTACCCCTATATTACTTACACATTAGTCGCTCATCCATGTCACCAAAACCGCATATTACAGTCTTATTATTAAGCATAAGTCATACAGTCGTCAACATTTATGTTTTACCAGGGACTTGTTATGCAAAATTTTTGATTAATAATGCCTTATTGTACAAAACACAGGCAAAATGTTGTGTTACTGTCGCTTAGTGTACATGCCCATGTCGTACTTATATGGCAAAAGATTTGTGGGAAGAATAACAGAGTTGGTTCACTCACTAAGGCAAGAGCTTTATGCGAACCCTTATGATGAAATTAATTGGAATAAAGCACGAAATACTTGTGCAAAGGTTCGTTAATTATTCTATCTTGAATTTGAAACACTTTGCAAATTTCTAAAATTATACAATACATCATGTATGGATTATTTCAAAAATTCAGGAAGATCTGTATTATCCGCACCCTTTTGTTCAAGATATGGTATGGGCCACACTTCATAATGTTGCTGAACCTATCTTAACAAGTCGACCATTTTCCACACTACGAGAAAAGGCACAAAAGGTTGCAATGGATCATGTTCACTATGAAGATAAGAGCAGTAGATATCTTTGCATTGGATGTGTGGAAAAGGTATTTGGTTTTAATATAAGCACTCTCTTAATTAGTTGAGTTATTTTCACACTTGTAACAAATGGAAATCATTATACAAGGTATTATGCTTAATTGCAACGTGGGTGGAAGATCCAAATGGTGATGCATATAAGCGACATCTTGCAAGAATTCCTGATTACTTTTGGGTTGCTGAGGATGGGATGAAAATGCAGGTATTTTCATACTAATTAACATAGTATTTTTTGCTCAGCTTCGTTTTTATTTTTCCTTTGAATATATTATCTATAAGTTAAATATTCATTTTTTTGGTAGAGCTTTGGATGTCAAATGTGGGATGCAGCCTTTGCTATTCAAGCCATTTTTTCAAGTAATCTAGCAGAGGAATACGGCCCGACTCTTAGAAAAGCACACGAGTTTGTAAAAGCATCACAGGTAATTGGCAGAAAACTTTTAAGCATAAGCAAAATCAAGAAAGAATCTTGAGAGAAAATCTAAAAATTCCCTTACCTTTTCAGCTTTTTACTTGAAAAAATTACAAATTTTTTTTTTTTTTTTTTTTTTTTTTGGCAGAAAAAACACTGATAATTTGAATTTTTTTCATTTAGCATTATTTACCTACCAAAATAGGTTAGAGTTACAAATGCTTAAAATAATTTCGAACAACATAAGGTATACTACAGTGGGCTATTTTAAGCCACATTTTGCACGCCACAACTAAGTTGTAATCCTTGACAAACCAAAAAATAATTTTTAAGTTAGCTTTTTAAAAAGATAACTTGATCAACTTTTTTACAATTCTTCGAAATATACCATTAATTTATAAGAAACTAATTTTTCTAAAATACATTTTTATGCTATTTTATATTTTACAGCTATCTTATCAATTAGTTTTATCAAAGGTTATTTTTTATCAGTTAGTTTTTTAATTATTAACTAGTTTTTTTAGCTACCAACTAACTTTTCATCTAATCTACCAAATATAGATTTATAAGTGAATAGTTGGTTGTTTTGGACTTTGACTATTTTCTCAATTGGGTTTGATTGTGATTTGTGTCCATGCAAGTATTTGTAACTTGATGATCGATTTTAGTAGATATTAATGGCTTAAATTACAAAAAAATACTAATAATAAACCAAAAAACTTAATGGATTTTTCTGAATTTTGCACGACAAAAACTAAAAAGAAATTGCATATTTTCATTTTAGGTTCGTGATAACCCCCCTGGAGATTTTAGTAAAATGTATAGACACACTTCTAAAGGTGCATGGACGTTTTCCATACAAGACCATGGTTGGCAAGTTTCTGATTGTACAGCAGAAGGCTTAAAGGTCTGTATTTATTATTTAATTGTGCCAACTTCTAAAAGTTTAAAAATTGTATTGGAATTTTTTTTATATAATAAATTCTTTTCTAGGTTGCACTTTTGTACTCCCAAATGAGCCCAAAACTTGTTGGCGAAAAACTTGAAACTGAGCGTCTCTACGATGCTGTCAATGTTATTCTTTCATTACAGGTATGTCGACAAGAGTGTTATCTACATACTTGGGGTTTATAAATTTTATTTTGGTGTATGTTATATTATTGTATATTATCACACTAATTTAATGTTCTTTAAATTGAATTTAGAGTGAAAATGGTGGATTTCCAGCTTGGGAACCACAAAGGGCATATGCTTGGTTGGAGGTACATATACATTTTTTCCATTTGAAACTATATATCACCTCAAGAAAAAAAAAAAGATTAATTTTTTTTTTATAACATTCTTTTATGTTCAATATGGATTTTAGAAATTCAATCCGACTGAATTTTTTGAAGATGTGTTGATCGAACGAGAGTAAGATTTTATAATTAACTACATATTTGATTATTCATCATGTTTTGTTGCTCTAGTTTTAAGAAATATATGTTATGTTGTTTTAGGTATGTGGAATGCACTTCTTCTGCAATCCAAGGTTTGACACTCTTCAAGAAGTTGCACCCTGGACATAGAACCAAGGAGATTGAACATTGTATTTCAAAAGCAGTGAAATATGTTGAAGATACACAAGAAAGTGATGGTTCATGGTATGTTGTTTACTACTTTGGTTGACCACCTTCAAAACTTTGTATTATATGCAATTTATTTAATTAAAGTCAACTTTTAAAAAATAACATATTTTTCTTTATTTATCACTTTAATTTCATTTACCTTTCTATTAATACATAACAAATAACCCGTTTGAATAAATCAATCATTCTATTCTTTCCAACCAACCAAGCATGAAAATGAAATGTAATGATCCATTGCATTAACGTGCTCCTTTCATTACATTGTTCACAATATTCTTGTATGATTTCACTCGATCCTTCCAAATAAGCCCTTAATTTTATTTGTAAGGAATGAAATATTATTTATATGATCGAAATATGTGTAGGTATGGTTGTTGGGGAATATGCTACACCTATGGTACATGGTTTGCAGTAGATGCACTAGCAGCTTGTGGAAAGAACTATCATAACAGTCCCACCCTTCAAAAAGCTTGCAAATTTCTCTTATCCAAACAACTTCCAGATGGTGGATGGGGAGAGAGTTACCTTTCAAGCTCAAACAAGGTAATATGAATTATGAAATCATCTATATCTAATTTTCTTCATGAAAGATCAAATTGTTCTTAAACGTTTCCTTTTTCTACACTGTGTATAGGTATACACGAATTTGGAGGGAAATCGATCGAATTTAGTACATACGTCGTGGGCTTTGATATCACTTATTAAAGCTGGACAGGTTTGTTACTCAGTCTATGACTAATATTGACTTAATTTTCATAATATAAAATACATCAAAACTTGAACTTTCTTCTCTATACATAAAATCCAGTATTGACTTATTTTTCATTAATTCATTATATATCATTTTTTTTTATTATTGTTAGGCTGAAATTGATCCTACACCAATAACTAATGGAATACGACTTCTCATCAATTCACAAATGGAAGAAGGAGACTTTCCTCAACAGGTTTCTTATCGATGATTTTTTTTTCTTCAGCTTCAAAAATACTTTGCAATTTATATTTCGAAACGATTGAAGCCTCTTAAACATCTTCTTCTTCTTCTTTTTTTTTTTTTTTTTTTTTTTTTTTTTTTTTTGTGAATTACAGGAAATCACAGGAGTATTCATGAAGAATTGTAACCTCAATTATTCATCATATAGAAATATTTTCCCCATATGGGCACTTGGTGAGTATGGGCGTATTGTTCAAAACATATGAAAACATTTCATGTAATATAAGGATAAAGACTGTAACACGAGATCTATACAGTGGGATCAATATACTAATTTATATGTGAAATTGTTGATTATGGATGTGTGTTCATTATGTCACTCATTAATGTTATGATTTTTAGGGTAATTACGAATACAAGCATAACTTTTTAAATCATACTACATAGAAAGAAAATGATGCAAAGTAACTATAAATGGAGCAATATCAGTTCATCTTATTAGATTATGTGAAAAAGATTAAAAAGCATAAGAAAAATCTTATTAGGCATTGGCATAATCAAATTAACTTTCAACTTGAAGTTTCAGCTCGACCAAGGTAAATATCTTCATTCTTGTTTGTAGACTTGGATTAAAGATATATTTGTTAATGCAAATCTTATCAATCATACCATTTTCCCTACAAAGATCAACTGTTTGCATCAAAGCGATATAATTTTCTGTGTTATGAGTTCTGGCAACTAATATCCATTCATTTACAAATATGTATCTTTCCATAATGTAAACTAACCAAAAACTGATATTAAATTGCAATGATTATGAACCATGTGGAAATCTAAGCCACACTTCTGCTAGACATTTCGTCGAACACTTTTCATGCATTCCCCAAATCAGCAAATTTCTACCGCTAATTCTCACAATTGTCCACCACTTGACCAAAAAGTTTACTCATATATTTATTAAGTCAGTAACAGTCAAAATCACGAAAATGTCGCATAAAATTGACACAACAAACATTTAATTAAAGTAATCTAAAGCTTTTTGTCTAACAAGCAAAAACAAAAACATATAAATGGAAGTCATGGATGAACGAGGAAGCACCTACTAGTAGATAAAATGATCAAAGTCGATTAAATAGCTCAACGACATTTGAATATGGCCATCGCACAGTAGTACGGATTTCAAAGCGTTGAGCTTCAGATTTTTTTGAGGTGGAGGGTAGAGACCTCAGCTTGGAATACCACCTCTCAGTGCTATTTTGATGCGGCAAACACTGCGTAGTACATCACTCTTTGGCCGCACTCCTTTGTTGCGATTTCCACCTTATGACCGTTGAGAAGCAGTCAAATTTCAAATCTATTTTCTTTTTTACTAACTCTATATATACATATGTTTTTTAAGTGAATATGACTAATTAATGTAATTAATTTTTCGGTTTATTCACATGTAAGTAGCTATCTTTTTTTTTTTGAATGTATCTAGATAACAAACTTTTTAGAACTCTTCATATATGACCATTATGATATGTTGTAGCAGATTACATCTAGTTATAGTAGGTTGGTTATATGTGAACACTTTCAACAAGTTCATTACCTAGATTTATACAAAAAAAATAGTTACCCAAATATAAACAAAACCAAAAGTAAGAGTAAATTACACGAGTGCTCCCTGTGGTTTGAGGGAATTTGTGTGTTTGATCCTTAAATTGTTTTTTTAAATTCAGATGGTCCCTACTGTTTATTGTTCTTGTGCTTGGTCCCTGTCTTACCTAAAAAGACTATTGTGCCCTTATTAATTTAACTTTTTTAATTAATTTTCTTATTACGTATTTTTTTATATGTTTTAAAAAATTAATAGACCCTACATATTTGTATCTCCTCACCATCCAATCTCTCATCATCCTTAATTTCTATTTCTTTTCCATCTTTAGTAACATCGACATCTTCACCATTCATTCTTTTTCGGTCCTTCACCTCCAACGAACCAACACCAGATCGCATTAAAGTGAAGTGATAATGAGTTATGGTGTTTGTTCGCTAGAGTTGAAAGACCAAAAAAAAGGATGGTGAAGACTTCAATGTCACTAAAGATGGAAATAAAATAGAAGTTGAAAAGGATGAGAGATAGGATGGTGACCGGTGCGACTCAGATTAAATTTCTCAAATGTGGTTTCAGGTTTACGGTGAGGAGATACATATATGTAGGGTCTATTAATTTTTTTAAACATATAAAAACAAATACATAAATAAGAAAATTAATTAAAAAAATAAATTAATAAGTACACAATAGTTTTTTTAGGTAAGACATGGACTAAGCGCAACAAAAATAAACAGTCAGGACTAATTTAAAAAAAAAATAAGCTAGGGACCAAACACACAAATTCCTCCAAACCATAGAGACAATTCATTTAATTTACTCTTACTTTTGTTTTTGATCATATTTAGGTAATAATTTGTTTTTGTACATATCTAGGTAATGAACTTGTTGAAAGTGTTCACATAGAACAATTCTGACCTGTTGTAGCTGGATGTAACCTCCTATAGCAGGTCATAATGGTCATATGTGAACAGTTCCAAAAAGTTTGTTACCTAGATATATACAAAAAAAGGTAGTTGCCTATATGTGAACAAACTGAAAAGTTAATTACCTTAATAAATAAGTCCTATTCCCTTTTTTTTTTTTAATTAAAACTTACTTACCAACACTTCAAAATTTAGAATCTTTTTTCTCAAACCCTGTAAAATTGTAGGTTTAATATTTATAGTTTACTTTTCTAATTTTTTCGGGTTTTTTTTTTTTATTATTATTATTTTTTTTGGAAAAATGACTTGTAAGGGTTATGAAGTATCGGTATTGTACAAAAAAACCATTAAATTATTTTTTTTGTATACATATCGCCAACCAACTATAACGTTTGTATACATATGCTCATTAAACTTTACATTTGTTCAAAAAATATCATTATGTTACCGGTAATAGTAGGTCAACCGCCACGTGTCATGCAATGTGGCTGTTGACGTGGATTTTACTGTTTATTATGTACATATTGTACCATTAAACTTTTTTTGTATACATTATATAATTAATTTTTTTTGTACATATTTTACCATTAAACTTTTTTGTACATATTTTACCATTAATCTTATATAACTTATTACAAAAATGACATTTCAAAAAATACGTATTATAAAATAAAAATGGGTTTTCCATCATTGTTACTCCCTGACTTTATAAGGTTTAGGGGAGAGGATTCATTTTTGACAATAATTATAATAACTCTTTTTTGCAATATCGTACATATATGTTGGTCATACATCGATTGAAAACCATATAGTGGTAATGTAATATATATTATTATATTTAAATGTATAAAAATGTAAATACTCAATTTCTCATTATTTTAGTTGAAGTTTAATACATTTAAATGTATAAATATATAAATTTTATTAAATTTCGAATCCCCCACCCTCCCGCGGCTCTCCCTTCAAAAACATAACAAAAAAGCAACACTTTTGTTTTCTAGAAATTTATTGTTTTTTCATCAATGAAACTTGTCTTATTTTTAATATTTAATATATGAATAATTAATAAAAAATTGTTTATAATATATGCGGTGTGGTGCGACTTTTTTTGCGGTTTTTAAAAACTAATAACCGCACTGCACCGCAAATTTGGGGTTTTTGAAAAGCAGAAAACATCACCATCGGTTTTTATTGTGGTTGCGGTTTATCGGTTGTGGTTTTTACGGTTAATTTTATTTGCGGTGCGATTTTTGCTTACACCTACTATACTCAATATTAAACTCAAATAAGCAAATATTTGAAAATTTCCTCCAATCAAGGAGGCATGCCCTCAAGCTTTTAAAACTTTTTTTTTTTTGTTTTTTTTAAATATTAAGGGGGAGTTTGTTTTTCCTTTTAAATCAGTTTTTTGACTTTTTAATTTTGAAAAAAGTTAAGAAAATCCAAAAGTTGTTTGAAAAGCCAAAAAAAACTTTTAAAACAAATTTTTACCAAAGCATAAAAACTAGTATTTGCAAAAGTCACACATCATCCATAACTTTTTGTATCTTTTTGAACTTTTAAAGCTCAAAAAGCTAAAAAAAAAATAGCAAATACTTTTTAAACAACCTCTTTTAGAAAAATATGTTTTACAAGAAGTTTATTTACAGAAACAGCTTTTCCCCAAACACCCCCTATGATTCTCCTTTCACTTTTTGCTACATTTCCCATGTTCTTCCATTGATGCTACTGAAACAAAAAGCGATAGACAACATCTTCCAATAAAACGTGATTCTTGGAATACAAAACTCAGAAGATCATACAATATTGATCTGAAAGACTAGCTAGCTTCAAAAGATTACAAGGGAAAGCTCGAGAAACATGAACAAAACAAATACAAATTCCAAGTTACCCAGGGAATTAATATACCCTGCTATGAGAACAGCTCGTGTTCTGGAGAAGGAGAGACGACGAGAGTCCCAACTTTGATGCAGTTAGATCGAACTCAAGAATATAATTCTCTAACTGATGCCCACCTAAGACAATAGATGTTGTTGGCGAAATTCCTCCATCAAAAAATGCAAGACATATCACATTCTTCTTAGCTTTCACCATTGAGTTTGCACCATACAGTCTCATCCTTACAGTACTCCCTTCCAAAACAAGGTCGATATTTGGAACTGCCGGTCCAGTTATCGTGTTGGGAACAGTCCTCGAGTCAAAGCACTCCACAAAAGGTGCGACAGCTTTTACCTTCTTTATTTTGTTCATTGATGCTTCCTTGGTGAATTCTTTCACAAGACTATTATAAATGGACGAATGCAAAGTCGTATAAGGTTCCATAGTAGTAATCTTTGTTCCCCCAACTCCATTTTTATCAATAGATAGCAGAGATGGACTAAAAGCTACACGTTTACCGTGTATTTCAATGTATTTGACATTGATAAAATACTCAAGGGAAGGCTCTTCATCAGCAAAATAGGGGTTAGTGGCAATCGGATTGACAACAAGCGGGGTGGTTACTAGTGACAAAGATTGATCTTCGATACTAGGAAGCATGTAATATGGACCTCCACCAATGAATATATCCCCTAATCCACTTTCAGATGATGATGGTAAACAAAGAGCAAATTTGTTAGCTAACTTTAAGGAAGATGAAATTTGTGATGGCAATGAGATGTTTATATTTGCAAAGCCAGCCAACCCTTTAGCATGGTCACCAGGTAAGCCCTCTACAGTGAGGGCACAAGAGAATTGGAATTTTTTTATGTAGTAACTAAACCAAACATACGCACCATCAGTCGAATATACTCTCATGGTATCTTCACTAAGCACTTGGTCTGTGTAGTACACTAGATAGGGGACGTAAGTGAGCACACCACAGGTGTCCTTTTTGGAGCACCCTGGTCTAAGAGTCTTGTTGCAATCTATACAGGATGATCCCCTGGCATTCTTACATCTGCTTGAACCACATGATGCTCGTTTATATGAAGACGACACATAGGATGTACAATCATACCAAACAGATGGTGATCCAAGATCAATCAATGCATCGATTATGTTAGCTTCCTCAGGGTTTCCAGACTCAAATGTGGTGTAGTATTGGAGAGTTGTTTGATTTTTTCTAATTGGAAGGTGAATGGCTTTTGGTTTTGGCAGTTTGGGAGGACCTGAAGCGGCGTAAGCGAAGCTTACAAGAGAAAAGATGAAGAGAGTGGTAAGTGTTTGAGAAGATGCCATTGTGATTGTAGTTGCCAAGTCATTGATGGGAATGGCGTTTTTTTATAGTACTCTTGAATCTTGATGCCCATGACGACGTTAGTAAACCAGGAACCTCTAGTGGATGCATCATAATAGAATATGTAAAAGGAGAATTTTAAATAAACCCACTTGGTTCTTAAATTAACATTCTTTCATAATTCTATCAACATGCATTTATATTTTAGTAGGTAGGCGAATCCCACGCGTTGTGCAGAAACACCTATATAGTTGAAGTATTTACAAATATATCAATTTTTAAATATAATAATAACTTTGTTAAATTTGATATAATAATTAATTTGTATATACTAAATTGATATAATATATTGATTATTTTGAATCATATGATATTATATACATTTATTATAACTTCATAATCTCAATCGTTTGAATAACTTCTACTGTGAGTTACACATGAATAAAATTAAATATAATATATGATTTGATGTTATTTATAGTTGTTTTTATTGTTAATTAATTTTTTAAAATTTATTTGCTTAATGTTTTAATTTATATCATTATAATTATTTAAAACATCAAATATTATTTTTTTTATTTTAAAGCTAACAATATAATCATCTATATAGAGATGTTTTTAACTATTGTTATTGTAAGTTATTTTAAGCTATTTATTTGGAAATTTTAACGATTATAAAAATATATTTAAGAAATATTTTAGTTAAATTGATATTACAATTTAGTTTTTGTTTTTATCACTACAATTTATCACTTTTAACTATTTACAAAATATTCTTTAGTTTTTCTAAATGGAACTGAAATTTATATTTGAGTTGACATTGTAATGCGCAGAACCACCTATATAGTTGAAGTCTTTACAAATATATATATTTTAAAATATAACACTAACGTTGTTGTTAAATTTGATATAATAATTCATATATTAATTAGATATAATATATTGATTATTTTGAATTATATGATAATATATATATACATACATATATATATATATATATATATATATATATATATATATATATATATACACATCTATTATAACATCATAATCTCAATCGTTTGAATGACTTCTACTCGCGAGTTACACATCAATAAACTTAAATATTATATATGGTATAATATTATTTATAGTTGTTGTTATTTTTAAATATTTTTTTAAAATTTATTTGCTTAATGTTTTAATTTTTATCATTATAATTACTTAAAACATCAAACATTATTTTTTTTTATTTTAAAGGTAACAATATAATCATTTATATAGATTATTTTTAACTATTGTTATTATAAGTTATTTTAAGTTACTTATTTGAAATTTTTTTAACGATTATATAAATATATTTAGGAAATATTTTAATTAAACTGATATTACAATTTAGTTATTACATTTATCACTTTTAACTATATACAAAATATTATTTTGTTTTTTTAGTGGAACTGAAATTTATATTTAAGTTGACATTGCAATGTTATATTTAAATTAACAATTTAAGTATTTTGTCCAAACTTGTAACTTTAAACCGATAATGGTTTACATGTAAGAACATTTTAAATATAATAAATTATGTATAATATGTTAAAATTTAAAGACATAACTTTATAAATAGAAGTAAATATATTATTTTAAAATTGAAGTTTAGTCTATTTATGATTACACTTTAGGTTTGATATTTATTTAACCTTATTAACCAACTTACAATCATTATCAGAAAGATACTACAATTTATCACTTTTAACTATTTATAAAATAATCTTTGGGTTGTTTAAGTTAAATAAAATTTATATTTAAGTTGAGCCTATAATTTTATATTTTAATTAATAATTTAAGTATTTTATACAAATTGTTCAAAAATTATACCTTTAAAACGATAATGGTTTACATCCAACAATATATTAAAACTAATAAATTAAGTATAATATGTTAAAAGTTAAAAAACATAATTTTTTAAGTAGAATTAAAAATATTATTTTAATATTGAAATATAGTTTACATATGATTAGACTTTAGATTTGGTATTTATTTAACCTAATTACGAAATTATAATTATTATTTTAAAGAAATTGAAAAATCATGGGAGTTTCAAATGATTGTGGTGAAAGGAAAAAAGAATGGGGGTTTCAAATGCATGAGATTCAAGAAAAAATCCTAGCTTTATAAGAATGTATGATTAAGTTTTTTTCTTAAGAAATAGCCAAAAATTTAGCATGTTTCATTGATAATCAGGAATCACTACCTCACTTGTTTCGCAACCCCCTTCCACAACCGGACCCGATCCAATTCTTGCTATTTCTTGTATGTAATTCTCATTTTGGTTTTGTATATGTTCTTTGTAACACCCGAAAAATTAATACAAAGTACATTCATTGTTTTTTTTTTGAATCATAATCATCTATGTATATTTATATTAACATGGTAACATAAAAGTAGTTATCGATCATATATACAACAAACACCCGAGGATTAAGTCGGGTATTACAATCCCTTTAATAACAAAACACAAAAAATATACTATTTGCTTAAGTTCTTCTATCTCTGGGCTACAACTTTACCCTTATCTGGGTTACTAGGGCCTGAAAGATATATCAACAAATAATGGTTAAACTAATCAAGCTTAGCTATCATTGTACACAAGTAATATCCACAACAATTAAACATAGATATTATCAACAATAGTAATATATAAAATTACATAAAGCATTTCCAAGACATTCACAACTCATAAATTTTTCCAACTCATACGTCTACATGGTTCTAAGCCACCAAGACTTAACATGAAGTCATTCAATAATTATCATCCATGGTTTGCGGCCAGAAAGTTTTACCATTATCATTCAACAATTGTCAACCATGGTTTCCTACCACGACGGCTTACCAATATTATTCAACAACCAAATATGATTGACAACCAAATAGGCTTACCCCAGTCGTTCAACAATGGTTCTTGCCACATAGGCTCCCCATGAACTACCATTCTCATCATGTTGATACCTTTCACACAATTCAACAATAGCCACATAACTACATATCAAGGAGGGAAATGTAGTTACTCGCCTTAGGAAGTTATATGTGATGAGTTTTGAGCGTAACAAAAAAAACATATGTGTGTATACAACCCTAAATTTTCCGATCTATGTTTTCGCTAATTGAACATACAACATTTGAACATCAATTGGGAAACCCTAGGAGGTATATTCTATTTTCGAAATTCATATAACTAGGGTTTGAATACATACTTTAATTGTTATATTGCAATAACAATGAATTCCCAGTCTTCTTGAACTTTGAGAGCAAGCGTCATAAGTGTCACGCCTCTAATGGTTTCACAACCAAATTAAGCAAGAGGATGTGAGAGGAGAGAGGAAAGGAGTGCTAGGAATTTCAGCAAGTCCTCTAAGGAATCAAGTGGCTGAAAATGTGAAGGGGTAAGGCTAAGGCCCTCTAGAAATAATGAGGTAGCTAAGACCCAAAATTATGGTTTTAGGAGGAAATCCTAATTCGCTTACCTTAGGGACCAAGCAGCCCAAGAATCCACATCCAAGAGCGATTGGAAGAAAATTCTAGGGCCTTCCTAGATATTTTCGTCCAACCTCTTCTAGGGAGGTTCTAATGCCCAATTCCTCAACTATCAATAAATTGACAAACAACCCCTTCACTTTTAATTAATACAGTTAATCCCAAAATTAATTCCAATTAATTTCGGATTAACTATTAATTAAACAATATGATTTATAATTAATATATTATTTTCATAATACATTAATAAATTATTTATTTCATATTATTAATCAAATAATAAATGCAACCTCTCTCCAAAAGCCATCATGTCTAGTTGCTAGTTTTGAGGGCAACCCAAAGGGACTACGCTACCATCAATTTAAGTTTATACCGATTATAGTTGTAGGCTTAGACACCTAAGCCAACAGTCTTCAAATTGGATAAGTCTAATAACTATAGTTTCCAGTATAACTTCAAAAATTGATTAGCAAATTGTAGCTCTCAAAGGCGTTATCGAACCCTGACCTAATCGGTTACGTGTCCTAAGATAAGTGATCAAATGTTCCTCTATTCTACATGATATATTATGCAGATTAGAGATAGATTATAGTCAATCTCATAGTCCAAGTTTTGTTTGCTGATTTCTGATTTAGGATGACTGATTTAGATTACCAATTGAACACATCAATTTAAACCAGGCGTGGCTAAACACTTTAGATGTCAACATCAAATCATTGAGGGGCCCAGAAATATCGTTTTTCCCACTAGGAAAAAAGGAACGGATAAACTTCTACTTATATGATCGTATTATTTACTTATCAAATCATACACAATAATACGTTTTATAACATCAAGTTATTGATGCGTTTACGTATTATCAATGTACATTTGATTCGTAAACAACAACTCATATATCTCCGTTTGAAGAATATAAGATATTATTGTTTCAGAATTACTCGTGATAAAATCCGTGAAGTAATTCTCTGAGCGTGAGTTTATCCGATACTCAAAATCCTTATTTTCCAAGTACTCATGAACATTGCAGCAAAACCATTTGCTATGTTTAATATGCATAACTAATCTACAATTCAATTCATGACAGACTTAATTCACTACTTAGTTCCAAAAGTACGATCGACTGTGGATATTTGAATAACCCAATTATTTGGGAAGTAAAACCTGGGATGTGAAGCACAATAATAACCTAATTAACTATGGTCTCAAAACTATTGAATATAAATAAAACCCTTATTATTTAATCACCATATAAAGTAGACTTTATTTATTGTACAATGTTTCAAGCAATCAACTAAACACTTGAATTAAACATCAATCATTTCATGTTATAAACATGCATACTATATCTCTCTATGGTCCTTCCTTTGTAAACAGATCGATGGAACACTATTCTAATGATACTCATTTCATAATTTCAAATTCTTGTTACTAATGAATATTTAGAGTTCAACGTTACGTGCAATGATCCTTTTGTGATATTGAGGTTTCA